CTAAACTGATGAGTCTGGGAAGTAGGCTACTTGCCCGTGGTGGTGCCACACAAACTTGGATAACTGATCTCTGCTCAGTCGAAATTTAGAATTTAATTCAGAACTGATTTGGCCTTTGTGCTACATATAATTATGTACCAAAGTGCTGCTCAAAAGTGTGTTTATGGAGTACCTGTGCTAAAACTTTCAGGAGTTTCAAAAAAAGGTAAGTGCATCAATTCTGGATGAACTATATTAGGGGTACTACATGCAAATTGCTACATCCATGTTTAATTTCAAGGTTATTGTTTTCAGATTTGCTCCTCACTTCCATGTATGCAGAGAGAGCAGTGTCTGACAGTAAGGAGAGAGAGAAGGAGCTGCCAGGGAAAAAAGTTATGGGGAAGCAGACAGCAAAGGACTACCTGACTCCCCAGATTTACTTTCACTTCTGTAGCAGTGGGAGGGGGACAAATTCAAGACAAACCTCCAATAATTAGATTCAATACCTGGAAAATTCTAATAAATTTATAATTGTCTTATAGTTGTCTTATAATCAGTCATCTTTTCTTTGAGTAAATATGGTACTATAATTCATTCTTTGTTACTGGTTTCACACAATATTCAGTACATCGTGCCTTTTTAGGTTTCTCTTGCATTAAAAACCAGAACTGACCAAACTATAAATAATAAACTTAATAAATTAATACTATTTCTCTATTTGCATACAGTCTAAAAACAGAATCCAAATATTATGGACTGATCATTTAAATAGTTTATGCCAATGTATTCCAGTGTACATCAATAAATTGTTTAAAATTTACTTACTTACTGTAGCTACTGCTTGTTTATTCACTATTTTAAATTCATCATATAATTGGTCATCTAAGATGCTTAGCATTGTTTGTGCTTGCTGAGCAGGAAATATGAATTTGAAAATCTCCAAAGATCTGGACACTTCTGGTCCATTTTTGAGCCAAAATCATGGTTCTCTTCCTTCAGACAATTCTGAGGAAGAAGACACTTTTACTGTCAAGAAGCAAATAAATATAGTTGCAATATTTGTCTCTTTTTCTGCAGTTATCCAGTAGGGGTGTGCGAAATGGGCCCTATTCAATTCAGATTTGGCTCCAATCAGGGACAGTGATTTGATCCACTAATTCAGAGCACTGTCCCTGATTCGATTCAGCCGAATCTGAATCTGATGATTCGATGCTGATTCAGTGAATCAGCGATTCAGACACAGGCACAGGTTTAAAAGTTTCTTCTACATATCTTGAGGTAGCAGGTGCAGCTCATGATCACTGCGGTGCTGAGGTGGACGGAGCATCCCACAGCAGCATGGTGGGGTTCTCCAGTGTGCTTGGCAGCAAACCCAGAAGTAGACTGGAAGTAGTTCCGGTCCACTTCTGGGTCTGCCAGGGAGTGCATAGGGGACCCCCCCCCACACCCACCTGGCCCAGTGATCAGCCACAGGGTGCCCCCCCAGACCCAGGAGGCACCAGTCGCTGAGCTGGAAGAGGGGAATGGGGGGGGCAGCACGCTCCCCGCTGGACCCGGAAGTGCTTCTGGTCCACTTCCGGGTCTGCTGTCGAGCATACTGGGGAGCCCCCTGTGCTTCTGCGGGACTCTACATGAACCCCAGCACTGAAGTGATCATGAGCCCCTGCTACCTAGAGGTATGTAGAAAAAACATTTAAAGCTTAATGTCTGAATCACTGAATCTGTCTGAATCTCTCCGAATTGATTCGGAGGCTTCTGAATTGATTCAGGGAGACTAAAGGATCTTCTGATTCAATTCAGATTCAGCGTTTTGGCCACTGAATTGGGCCAAATGTCCGCGGAATCAAATCAGAGAGCAAAGCTTCACACAACCCTATTATCCAGCTCTAATTAGGGTAATATTCAAAGACTATTGAACTGAAAAGCAATATTCTAAAGAATCAACAATAACATTAAGCATTCATTTCAAATTTAAGATGGTCAAACTTAACAAATAAACTCTGGCTCAGATTCTCCATTTTCTTGCATCTTTCATAGTTACTTACAGGTTTAAAAAGTACGAAACACAACCAGATCACTAAATCTGTATGTTACACCTACCTCGTGCTCAGAGCCTGGACAGTAGGCAGGGTTGAGGCACACCTGGATCCTATGCACAGGGCTGGACCAGTGCATGCGTTCACACCTGTGGACCTAACCTGCATACTGACCCTGCTCTGGATCTGGCCCATAGACCCACCCCATCCACAGGTTATGGCCCCATACCACTTATCTGGTCAGTGGGGCCAGAAAGTTGAGTACCACTTATTCGGAGATAGAAATTACATGAGAGGTGACTATAGCCAGCCCATTGTTTAAAACAAAATGAAAAAGTATTATTTAACTTGCAAGCATCAGGGAAAAGCCAATTTATGAAAGCATCTCGCTCTTCAGACAAAAATGAAAACCAAAATCTACTCAGCATGTATACTTCCATGTTAACTTTAAGATGAATAAATTTTTAGAGATTATTTTAGAAATAACCTAGCGAAAATACAAGGACGTTGCCATTAATCTAACTATAAACTGCATTAACATGCTGCTATAATATTTATAAATTTATACACACATTCTTGATAGGTAATGATCTACTTAATGAACTCACTTCTCTCATGCTATCTAATATAATCCAAAATTACTTTGTGTGCTAAAAAAGTAAAGCATTATTTTTTATTTCTATCATGATTTTCTATGTATATTCAACCCCTGAGGGTTTCCATTCTATACATCCTGTAGGTTTGAAAGCAAGCTCTCAATTCCCTCAAGTAGTGTTGTAACAGAAGGAATCCTTATTAGCAGACAATTATAACTATTTAATTCTATTGCCCTCTATTGACTCAAGGCCAGAAGCACAGATGGAACTTCACAATGGGGGAAGAAACAGAAAATGAACCAGAGGTAAGTGGTTGCCATTTGCCATAATATAAAGGTGGCTGCATAGTGTTCATGGGGTGTTCACTTTGTACATCACCAGTTAAAATAACTTTGATTGCTCTCCTCAAAGTGGATGCCTATAGACATGCAGGGAGGCTGCTCCAACACACTGTAATTACAGTGTGCCAGAACAGGCTCAATTAATCAAGTCTGCCAGAGCATGCAAATTAGCACACCTCCAGCAGTCTCTGCATCTCGTGCATCAGCATCCCCATGCTTCAAAATGGTGGTGGAGGCACTTTAACTATAGCTCATCGAATGTTCACCTGTTCACCTGTGCATTAAGTTTGGAAAATTTAACCCAAAAGGTGAAAGTTCCCCAATGCTATGAGTGAGTAAAAACATGAAATAAGAATGGGAAGCATTATGTAACCTTATATGCTATATAGAGAGGTCATCATTATCTTCCTATAATGCATAAACACTCAGATAAGAGGTGCATGATTTGTGCCAAACTACAATCTTTGAACATATCAGTGTGCAGCTTAAAGGGACTGTCAAAGTAAGTAGGGTCAGAAATTCACTCTGGGGGTTTTTTTTAATCTGTTTACAGAATCTGCCGTTTTTTAAACAAATGTTTCAATGGTCTTTTCTTCTAGAAATGGATGCTAGACTCCAACAGTCCAGCACTCATGTGAAAAATATTTTTCATATGTGTTGGAAGAGGGAAATGTGTCTAAAGAAATGGTTTCATTTTCAAGGAGTTCTTATAAATACCAGCAAGAAGAAAAATGAATTATAAAGTTATGAAATAAAAACTTAACAGTTTCCTTTTAAGGAGCCCTTGCTTGATTTGCAGGACTTCTTTGGTATCAAATTAAAAGTACATTCCTGATGAAAACTTATATTTGGTTATAATAATAGAACAATGGGGATCTAAAGAGTAGTATAAAAAACATGTTGCCCCTGCAGTTTAAAAAAATGGATTTTTACTCACTGAAACTAGATATGAGGCTCTCTCACTATACATATACACACTTGCTGTTTCAGTATACCTGCAGTTGGTTCAGTGACATAAATTTCAAGAGTTAAATTCTTCTTCAAAAGCAGAAGCATTTTTATAGGTCACCCTTTGAATACATGAGTTAATAATGTCCAAAGAGGGGATAAACTACATAAGAGGAAAGTAATTTTTTGAATTTTCCCTTCAGTTTGGTGACAGGATTTTTCCTTTAAAAATTCTAAGGGGCTCCCGAGAACTCCCTCTAGCACAGCATGAACATTACATAATTCATACAAAGAATTAAAAGGCAGAAGGGGGAAAATAACTGCAATCAAAATGCTCTCAAAGTTCAATAAGCTAGTAGTAGTTTTACCCAGAAAAGTTTCATTTTAGAGTACTAAATATTTTATTAAATAAGCCTATTAAAATGAGATCACATTGGAGGATAACAGAAATTCAACCTTAGAACACTTGAATCTAATAACACGCTCAACCAAATGCAAAATTCTATTTCCTGCTAGATCAAAATTTAATTGTTCCACTTCATTATTTGATAATAATAATGAATTCTATTAAGAGGCTTATTTATTACTGTTCTCCTTGGGCTACTCCAGAACTCCAAGGTAACACTGTTCCATTATATCAAGTTTTAGAGATAGAGTGTAACAATTTAGTGGAAGTAAAAATGATGATCTTAAAAATGTCACACTTTTTACAATCTTAACTCACCCAAGAACTCTTTCCTAAATCACACCCTTCCCACCAACTTGAAGATGACACACACATATTCATAAAAATCACCTCTGTTTATACAATGTATTCTATGTCATGCATGACAACATTTAATTAATATTGAGGCTTATCTACACAACAAAACACACAGAGGTAAAATAAGCATTGTTATGACACACAGTATTATATTGTTAAGGCCAACAGGAAGTAAAATTTTCATCTTCTGTTAATCATTTGACAACATTTAAAAAAAAATCACACAATTTATATCATCAACTTGATTCCTGCAGCAATCCAATTAGAACTCTGCTTGAAAACACAAATGAAAATATTTATATGGTCAGTTATATTAATCATTTGTATCACTTACCTTGGTAGAAAAATTCAACAAGGAACCACTGAGGTTGCCAGTATTACACTTAAAATTCAGGTATTGGTCCGGGTGATAAACTGCTTCCCAACTCCCCACATCACGGATCAATGACCTGTCTGAATTTGCAGATATTTTCTGAAAGGCTGTGCAAGTCATTCCTATGAAGCTTGATGGTTTGATCATAAAGGCCTCCAGAGCAATATTAAGAGACACCTGTCAAAAATTGAAAAATATACTTTAAAGGGAATCAGTAGCATAAATTATGCATTGGGTATACTCTCTCTCTCTCATGCATACATAGGAAAAAAATATCAACATGTCTCCTTTGGACTGTGAGTAATCCCACTAAGATTTAGTTTTGTCTCCACATCACATCCCTCCTTCCAAGCCTAATCTTCAGCGCCTACACTGGTTGCTGCCTAACTCTCATATCCAGTTCCTGCCTGATTCCCAGGTCCTGCCCATTCTCCAGTCCCTGTCCTAATTACCGATCTCAGGCACTGACTTTAGTTTCTGATTAGGCTCTGACTCTGATCTGTGGATTGGACTACCCTAGCCCTGGTTCTAATGTCTGAGCTTGCTTGTCAGAGCTAGCTTAGCTTGGATGCTGGCACAGAAAGCTCCTCGAGCAAGTTTGCGGAAGATGTGAAACTGGAAAAGATTGAGAACGTGTTGGAGGATGCGAGCACAATTCAAAGGGTTCTCAACATATTGGAAAGGTGAGCTAGAACAAACAGGATGAAGTTCAATGCAGACAAATGCAAGGTGCTACACCTAGGCAGGAATATTCAAAAACACAAATACAAAATGAAGGACAGCTGGCTGGATGGTAGCACTAGGGAATAAGACTTGGGAGCCTTCATAGACCACAAACTCAATACAAGCCTGCAGTGTGATGCAGCCACACAAAAGACGAATATAGTTTTGGGCTGCATCAACAGAAGCAGTAGGTGTAAGACACGAGAGGTGATAGTGCCTCCCTACTCGGCACTGGATAGGCTTCATATGGAGTACTGCATGCAGCTCTGGGTTCCACATTTTTAAAAAGACATGAAGAAATTCAAGGGGTCCAGAGGTGGGCAAAAAAGATGATCAAGGGCTTGGAAGGCAGTCATACGAGGAGAGGCTGAAGGAACTAGGCATGTTCAGCTTGTGCAAAGGCACTTAGGAGGGGACATGATAACACCCTTCAAATCCTTGAAGGGCTGCCATGAAGAAGAGGGAAACTACCTTTTTTCTCTTGCCACTGAAAGGAGGACAAGGACCAATGGCTTGAAGTTGCAACAAAGTAAATTTAGATTGGATATTCAGAAAAACTTCTTCACTGTTGGAATAGTGAGGCAGTGGAATAGACTGCCTAGGGAAGTTGTGGACTCACCATCACTGGAGATGTTCAAGAAGGCTGAACAGTAACTGGTCGGGTATGGTGTAGGTGTAGTTATGCCTATTTTCTATTATGGGTATTTCCTATGCTTCTGGGCTTTGCTGGTGGCTCCCATCCTGCCGTACCGCTCCCCACCCCCTACTTTTTCAGCTATATACATCAGGGTGTTTTTAAGCCTCCCCAGAGGCATTGGGTGTTGGCCATGGTTTACTACTGCTAGATTTATCAGGAGATTTAGTTTTACAGAGATTACATCTAAAGCTAATGTCCACAAGGTTTGTGCAGTTTTACTCTGTTGAAAGAAACTACTGCATTTTCAGTGAAGCAGTTTACTGGCTAATTGCTTCCTGGCTAAACTCCAAAAGGAACAGAAGTTGCTTAGTATTGTGTGAGACTATATATGAAAGTCCACAACTTTGTTTATTTGTAAGCTGTACTCAACTGTATTCCAATTCTCATACAGAAAACTATAAGAAGAAAAAAGCTAAAGGACAGCAAATGGGTTAGGGACATATATTTACATTTTTTGCAAACAAGATTACTTTGGATAGGAATGATAACATCCACCTAAAGCAGGGACAAGTATGACCTATGGCATTTAAAATAACATTTTAAATTACATTTAAAATAAACAAGATGTTTATACCAACAGACCCTTTCTTGTTATAACTTGGAGTGGTGGGGGCTAACATTTTTTTTGGCAGGAGTACCATAAATTAGCCCTCCAGTTTCCCCGAGTGCCACTCTAACATCCTTCCCCTGCCAAATCTTCTCCTATGCTTCCTGTTCCTGCCCTGTGCTACCTGCCCAATCTGTTACTCTGTTTTCTATTTCTTGCCCTATCTGCCATTGTGCTTCTTGCTCCATCCCCAATCTGCCATGTGCCACACACATGAACTGCCTGTGCCAGTAGTGCCATGCATGGACCCAGGTTGGCCACCCATGAGTTACAGTCATAACAGACCAGAAGTTCCTGGAAAATAAAGTGCTTTTATAAATGGTAGCTCACACACTAGGTTAACCCTGGATGGATGTGTACTGCCCTAAACTATTTTCTGTTAGATCACTTTATCAAACATCTAGATCCCATTCTTGAGTGTTAACTTAGAGTACAACTGCTGCTGCCCCAGGTAATGTTGTGCAGGGCTGCACTCTAGCCTCAGACAGAGCTTGTTTGCTCTGCCTGAGCACCAGCCAGATCCCCCAGCTGTCGCTGACTCAAGTCAGTGATAGCTTCTGATCCCAGGCCTGCATGCAGCCTAGTGTGCGAGGGAAGGGAGTTTCTGTCTATTCCCATAGCCACTCTAGCCCAGCAGCATTGGGATGGGCTGCAGCGGAAAGAGT